AACCTGAATCATGATGATTTTATCCCGAAAAACTTTGTGAATCGGAAACCAAAACAACTGGTAAAAAAAAGGAGAAAAAGCTGCTTCGAATGACATTCGAGTAGCTTACCGGTTGTTGTTCTGAGAGATTTGAGTTGACCAAATATGGATTTCGATGGCACTGAAAATTTGATTCTAGAAACTCTAAGAAACAGACTAAGGAAGAGAAAAAAATTGTTTTGTGTCCTATAGGGTTTGCTCTATTTATCTGGTAGTTGTACATCTTCGGGGAGTCAGTACAAAATCATACAAAAATAGCCAAACTTTACCATGTCAAAAAGTATGAGTCGCAGATTTTGGTAATTTTTTGAGAGCTCATTGAATATTATGCAATGGAATTACATTAGAAAGAGGACGGAATCCTGCTCCGACTGATCCTAAAAGTCTTGAAAATCTTGGTTCCACGAAATGTGACGTTCATTTCAAAAAAAGCGACATTACTTTCGGAACGACCTAATAGTACTCAAGAGAGCTAGATGTATTGCAAGCAACACGCATAAGTACAGTAAGTAGTACAACTGACATTTTTCCACCTCAAAAACCTTTTAACTGTCAGTTATCATTTTGCATAACGTTTCAATGTTATTATACACGTAGTTCATCCTGGGAATGATGAGGACGGGAAGACTTTAAAAGTACCATTTCCAATTAAATGCACAAAATTGGCCGACTTTTGAGGTTTTTTTTGGAAATTTCAAGATCATCCGTATAGATCTAAATGCATTCCAAACAATACGAATAAACACAGTTGAGCATTCTGAAAAAATCGCAACTCAAGATTTTGGGCTGTCGCTGATGGTTTGCAAGACGTTTCAACGCTCTCATACACAAAGCGAGGATCATCCTGGAAATGATGAGGACGGTAAGGACTCATGACCCATAAAGATATCCTCAGTGTGATAAGTTGGGCAGTGAAGTTTGTAGGATGGGTCAAGGTTGAGGACGTTCTTGTGATAGCGAACCTGAAGACATGAAAAATTGCATAGCGTCAATATTTTCATCATCACCTTTGAGTTGTCTTATTATTATTTTTTACACAAAATCAATGCTTGTGTCAGAAGGGTAAGCGCAGCGACTGGCACGAAGGTGGCAATGTCGAGCTGGAAATCGTTTAGGTGGAAACACAATGGGGGCTCGTAAATACACGTTTGTACGCAAATACGCATCCCTTTGAAGTCACCATCCACTCAAAATGAGGGTTGTGAGATTTGGTTACGGTACAGTAACGAGGCCTCTAACTACCCTAACTTCAGTGGCCGTATTCATCAAGGAACCCAGTGGGTTCCGGAACCCACTGGGTTAGTGCTTTTGATGAATATCGATTCTACCCTGGAGTAAAATCGATATTCATCAAAAGCACTAACCCTATGGGTTCCGAAACCCACTAGGTTCGTTGATGAATACGGCCACGGAGTACAAGATGCACCTACCTTTGCCTTTTCAAGCAGGCAGCTCTGTCGCACCACTATGCTTCGCGAAATGGTCGCTCTTTTAATGAGTAAGAAGAAACACAATATAGGGTCCATTGATCCCGATATTTTTTCGGCATTTTTGCAGTGGTCGAGTGTAAAAAATGAATGGTTTTGTACAAATAATCGGGGTAATTGAACGCCTAAGTTCCGCTGCAAATACGCAAACACGCACACAGCATGCAAACACTTAGGTTGGGGCGAACAAATTCCAGGGCAATATTTTCATTTTAAATTCACCTGGTGCAGTGGAACTTAAGTGTTTACTTACGAGGGAAGTACTTTCAATGGCCGTGGCTGTTTGATATGAGATGCATACCATCTGAAGCAGCTTCGAACGCTGATTTCAAATCTGCTTTCCTTTCTGCGGAACGCTCTTTTGAAGAGAGTTATGAAAGCCTGAACATCCTATTTTGGGGCGCTGCTATGTGCGTTGGTGGCGCAGTAGTGTAATGGTTGATTGCTGACATTGAATGCGAGAGGTTATTGGTTTAAATCCGGTGGAGAGCGAACTATTTTGCTTATTGAATGTGAATTTGAAAGCACTCTAAATCGCCTGCAGACACTTACTGTAATGCCTTAGCACAAACAGGAGAGAACATCTTTTCGACTAATGACAATGTGCATTTTTCGAGCTTTATATGGTGACAAACGTGTTAGGCCATGTTTGGTCCTGTTTTACTAGTAAGGAAGTCAAATAAAATTTCAGCCTCTCATTACAAGCAGTTTTACCAGAAAGTTCTTTTTCTAGGTCACTTGAAGGCATTACAGTAAGTGTCTGCAGGCGAATTAGACTGTTTTCAAACTCACATTCAATAAGCAAAATAGTTCGCTCTTCACCGGATTCGAACCATTAACCTCTCACCTTCAATGTCAGCAAAACCACTACATTACTGCACCACCAATGCACATAGCAGCGCCCTCAAACTCAAGGAGCGCCCACAAAATAGAATGTTCAGGCTTCAACTCTCTTCAGAAGAGCGTTCCGCAGAAACGAAAAACAGATTTAAAATCAGCGTTCGAAGCTGCTTCAGACGATATGCATCTCATATCATAAGGCCACGGCCATTGATAGTACTTCCCGTTAGTTAGAGGGCCCGCTATAGTACAATGTCTATATTTTACTATTCTAATTCAAGTGAACGGTGTTTTTAACAAGTTGTGGGATCGACGTGAACAGGCACGATTTTGCTCAAGGCATCATTTCCAAAAAAAACCTTTTTTGCACAAAGTAGTAAGCAACTGCAAGTTTACAATATATGCTTGTTTGTTCTTGTAAATGATCAAAAGTAATATGAAAAACTTAAGTGAATGAAAGGCATGCTCAAGCTTTTTTCCAAGTCAAAGTGACAATCATAAAGCCACCTCAAAAGTAGCAAAACGCATCTATTTTATTTATATTATTATTCTATTCTATAGCAATATTTTTTATTCTATTCTAAACACATAATTTTCACCTATAAATTTTACTCAGATCTGTCGACCAAAATTTACTGTGGTACTCTGGCACTAACTTACTCTTAACTTACTCTGGCACCTACCTACAGTCGATTCGTTTCATATGATCATGTGTGTTATTGCACACGCTGTCCCCCTTTGGCGTCCCCATCCTGGATTTACAATAGCAGAAACGTAAGAAACTGACCAAATGTTATCCTTCCCATCAGTTTGTGGATACTGGTACGTAGAAAGAAAAGAAAACATAAAGAAAACATTTTAAAAAACACCGAGAACACTCACCTGAAGGTGTGCCTACTCCTAGACTCCAGGATGAGAACGCCAAAGGGGACAGTGCGTGAGTTAACACACATGATCATATGAAACGAATCGACTGTATGTGCTTGGAGTTAGTTACGACCCTTATCGGTGTAAAATGCAGATAAGTGCAAAACGTTCCTCAGGATGTTACAATCACAAATCGTTGGAACTTTACTTGAACAATCTCGTAGGTGCAGTTTTGTTTCAGTGCAGGACACTAAAAATGAGATCTTTAGTTTCTGCGGAGATCCACCTTCTAGATGTTCCAAATGACTCTGAAATCTGAAAGCACAAAACGAGGCCGATAATGCTAAAAATATACGTACATCTATACAGTCATCAAGGTTCCAAAGAATTCAAAAACATAAGCCGACTTGCAAAACAAGGAAACGTTTTGGAACTTTCTGTCCTTCAAATGGAGAGGCCCTTTACGAAATCCAGCTTATCCGGACAAAATGTTCTACAGTAAGCATGCAAAAACAATGCACGTTGGTAAAAAATGATCTGATTTCCAAGGTATCATGAATACAAAATCATAAACCCGCATTTTATTGAACTCGTAAATGCAAACGACATCGCCATCAGCAAGAACACTAGCGCCGGACGTTGCCATTGTAGATGTGCACTGAAACGACACAGAAAATTCTATACTACTTTACTTTCTGAACAGACGGACATAAATCGAACGATTAAACGAGACCTGTGCGGGAATGTAACCTTAGAGCAAACGATATAACAGGTAATCAAAGAAACCGACTAAAATATGAAGAAAGAGCCTAAACAGAGGATTCATCACCGTGGAGTTAGACGTTTGCTTGGCTAAGCGCCAAATCGATACGCAGCCACTCTTGCTCCGGAGTCCGGAGACCTCCCATTTGTGCTCCGGAGCCCTGCCATTTTTTGCTCCGGAGGTGTCACAAATCTGGCGCACTCGCGGTGGGCAATCTCTGCTCCGGGGCTCTCCCAAATCTGGCGTACCTCCGGAGCAGAGATTCAGGCGTCCCAAAGAAGGGCCCCGCTCGCCTGCCGGTGACGTCACCGTGACCTACAAGAAGGGACCGCCCCCTCGCTTCGCTCTCAATGGTCAATTGGGTACTCCGCGGCTCTGCCAGATTTCGACTGTACGCCGCGACTACGGCACCGATTGTCTGAGATAGTTCTACTCTAGCATCTGCAATCCAAAGTCCTATCGTTCTTGTTCGGAACAATGTTGGGGTAATTCTACCCTTTAGGTTTTTCAATTTTTAACTCCTTCAACACTTTGTTTGGTGAAATGAGCAACAATATTGCATCAATTCTAGTTAGCGATGAATGTTTTTTACACATTCCGCGACCTCTCGCATAAAGCTGGCAATGTAAATTTCCAAGATGTGTAACACAGTAACATAGAGTTAAGCAATAACAAAAGGGAACTAAGGAGTTAACGAGGGAAGAGCGAGAATCAGAGGTTTTGCATCTTAAAGACTCGCTTGGATCATATATATTCTCTTGAAAAGCAAAGGGACATCAGGGCAAGTACATTGAAAAACGAAGGATAAGAGCTGATTTTTGGCAGTACATTGTCGCCGATGCGTGTAAGATGGGTTACCGGAAAATGTAGATAACCTTTTCAGTGATCTGTTCACGATATCACCAAAAATATAGCTGGATGTAAATTACTTCATAAATTCAGTTTTTGACGCTATTCGCTTTCAGACTTCTGAAACATTTATGAGCATACAAAAATTCCTTTTATCATGGACACTGCAGTTTGTAATTCGGATTGGGATTGATGGAATTCGTGTGATAGCGCACCTGAAATACAACAATGGAACAGGTCTTTTATATCAAAGAGCTCGAAAAAACATCCTCTGCGATAAAACTTTCAAATCAAGCAATTTAGCATGCATCTGGTGATTCTTGATTGCAAACCTTGCCGGCAAGGAGAAGAAGAGTTAACTCACATTTTCAAGGGATCTGTAGAATTGCAGATCCAAATCATGATCGATTTGGCCGAGATATGTGCGATTGAACAACAGTTCGTGCATGCAGTCAACTATTGCATAGTCATAGGCAGGGTAAGGCTAGGAGTTGTCTATGCAAATTCATTTATAATGTTGGAAAAACCCACTTTATTGGCCAATAAGCTTCTACTCGCTGATAGAAACTGCAGATTTTCTACTCCAAATATGCAGATGCTATGTCTTTTCTTGGGACATGGAAACTCATTTTGGTTAATCCAGATGGTTAATCTAAAAATAATGGTAAAAAGTACTTCTTATTCGTGGAAAATATGACGTGTTGAAGAAAGAGTAACACAGCTTGGTTATTTCATTATGCAACGCCAAAAAATGACATTCATGAAGAACTACGTGTTTGAGAAACTAGATGTCGAGAATCATGCCTCAAAACTTGTACGTTCTCGATTCACTGTTATATTAGGCTGGTGCAAAATTAATGGGCGTTTTCCTAAGACTTTTTTCAGGACAACTTTTCTCCATCAAACTTCTTTCTTTGTAACAGTTTCCGCATATTGTTAGAAAGCTCTTTTTATGCTCTATCTAATGGTGTTAGAAATGGACTTTTAACCCACTCTGTTAGAATTTTATAGAGCTTCAAATAATCGCACTCAAAACCAGATTTTCGTTGCATTCATTTTTCTGGCCAGAATTTGATGAAGATAGTTTAGCGAAAATTCAGCCGCTATATGTGATGGAAATTGTCTACATTATGCTATTTGAACATATTTTTTGAAGCTATCTGAAATGAGATATCGGCGGCTTAACATGGGTAATGGTTATGGTCATTTTAGAGCCCATAACTTTCTTTTGTAGAATGCAGTCGCTCAAGCTTTGCTCATCTCTGTAAGCGTGAGGGTAGGTGTCCTATTAGCAGTTTTTGCAAAAACATCCAGGTGTTCAGTACGCAGAAAATTAGAAAACTCCATACTTGGGGTTTTGAAGTTTACTGAAAAAATGCTAAAAAAGTTGATATTTTTGAATTTCAGTTTTTCCCTCTTCGCTAATCTTTTTTCTCCAAACCGTTTCCATGTATATTTGTACTACTGGCTTGTGGCTACAAGATAGGCTGCTTATAAATAGTAACAACGAAGTATGAAAGGAGTTATGTTTTATCAAAAACAAAACTTCAGAAAATTTTTTTTTGTTTTTCAATCCTTATTTTTCTGCCCATATGAGATATGAGTATAGGTCAATATGCGCTGTACTGCGAAAGGTTCGCTGCATCTGATGGTCTTTATCACATTTCAAAATGTAGATTTTGTAGAAAGTTATACCTAGTTAAAGTGAAAAATTGAAAAACGCTCATTATTTTTGCATCAACCTAATACTATTGACACATACAAAGTTATGTATCATGAATATAAAACTGAATATCTGTTTGTTTGTCTGTGTGTATGTTGTATGTCTGTGCGTACGTTCCGAATAGAAATTTTTATTTCTGAATCAACCCGGACCAAACTTAGCAAGCATACACTTCTAGGAAGGGAAGGTGTCGTAGGCTACTTTTCGCCATCGATCGGCATCGATTTTTGCAAAACCACCTACGGGATTTAGAGTTTGCACAGTGGATAAGTGAGCATGCTGTTGACGAAGAAGTTGACAGGCTGCGCGGAGCCGGGTTTGCCACCTAATAAACTATATACCTTACAGTTATGCTGGTTGCATTTTCTATCATGACTTATAAGAAGGGGCTAAAGGATGTTTACATCTTTTTGTCTGCTCAGGCTATCGCCGGCGCAGGCGGTCCGCAAACTCGCGCTTTTTTGCAGACGGTCAGCAAAATTTTGGGGCATGACCAAACCTTCAGCGAACGGTACTTACTTTGCTGTCGCATGTTCTGCCAGCGGACAGCAATAAGAGTTTTCTGCGAGTACTCGTCAAATAGTTTCTTCCAGCGAGCGACCAAATTTTCAGCAAGCGCTCGGACTCTTTTTATGCAGTTTCGGGCGTACGCCGAGCGAAGGTGAGTCTCTAAATGGTAGGAGTGCCATGGTTTTATTACCCAAGTGTCGGTACCTTTCCTCAACGGAAGGGCCTGTGGGCTGCGCGGTTCTTCACAAAGGACCGTACGGCCCTCAACATTTTTGCGTATTCTCGCGAGAAGTTCAAGAGAATTCAGAAAGCAATCACGACTTTTTGGGACGCCGCTTGCTGATTTCTCGATTCCTCAGAGATTCAGCAATATATCTGCAAAAGACAAGGAGCGAAAAAGGATCCAACAGGCGGTCTCTCAAAATCTCACTATACATTTTCCTGAAATTTGCGAGCGGAATGCGAAATTCCAGCAACGCGCATTTTCCGGCGCCCGCCTGCCCCCGGCGTTTGTCTGAGTACACTTCGAGGCCGGACGGGTGTCATAGGCTCCTTTTCGTCATCGACGATATCGATTTTATCAATTTTTATCAATCTTTTGCAAAGTTTGAGCTACGGGACTGGGAGTTGGCACAGGGGCTAATCGAGCATGCTTTACGAATACAATATTAGTTTTCAAAACTATCCATTACTTCTACCGTTTTTATCGATTTTTTGCAAATAAGGGAAGGGGAGGGGGGAACAAATGAACATTCTGATTACTAACGCAGCGGGAATAGTGAATTGGCATGTAGACGTTGGTACATGGAAAGGTTGTACAGGGATAGGGATAAGAGCTTTATCATAGTGTTTTGACAGGGTCGAGCGGAGCCGGTTAAGCCAGCTAGTTACTTTATAGAAATAGCGCCAAAAATAATTAGTTGCGCAAGCGTTTAATTTGTTAGCGTTTTACCTGATCATTCAAGAAGATTTTTGCACAGAGATGTAGCCCACGTTGATTATCCTTCTTAAGGAGCTTCCAGACCGCGCCGGTTGCCGCTTTAGCCGTTAGCCGCTTTCGCGCCGATTGCCGCTTTTGCAGCCGAAGCGCAGCGGGTCACGCCGTTGTCTCCATGGCGCGCAGGCGGCGCAAGAACTCACTGATCAATCCATTTTTGTGCTTTTTTGATCAATCCATTTTTGTGCTTTTTGAATGTCTTTTCCCTGATTTTTCTGTTATAGGTCTGGTTTCAAGGTATAAGTCCTTCCACAACGTTTGCTCCAAGATTAGAAATATTGCCGCTGAGGACAGATGTGCTAAGTATCGCCTACGATCAGCTGGAGTTTACAAATTGGACTGTTCATTGCGTCTTGCTTCATTTTTATTACGCTCAACTTTTATACTTTTGTTGGTGATGCGGCTTGGAAAGCTGTTGCTATTTTGAAGAGCATTTATACAAATCCATGACTCGCATTACCCACAACAAATATGAATTTTGAGCTAAACCCATGAAGAAGGAGGTAGCGAGGAACATCACAAACATATAATGTGTTGCGCTCAAGTCTCATATTTGCTCTGGGTGATGCTGTTTCTCTATTCTCACGTCCATGTATTATCATGGACCTGCACAAATGGTCTTTAAAGGCAACGTCCACGCAAGTCTGGAACATGGGAATTTCATGTGGATAGTAATTTTGGGGCCCTAACTAAGCCACTGCCAAACCGGCAGCTCAGGTTGTGCTCTAACGGCTGAGATATTCCCCTCAAAACTGGACCCCGCGATCGTATTTTGCATGGATTCATGGCGCAAAGCGTGGATCCTGGCGCGAAACTGCCACGAATCCATGCGAATACGATCGCGGGGTCCAGTTTCGAGGGAAATATCTCAGCTGTTAGAGCACTACTCGCGCTGCCGCTTGGGCAGTGCCTTAGCTGAGGCCCCAAAAGTACTTTCCACGTGAAGTCCCCATAGGTCCAGATCTGCCTGGACGCTGCCTTTAACATCCCGTCTAGCTTCCAGACGGCGTCATTCGCAGAAAGCATAAAACTTGAGCGCAACAAGACTGTGAAAAAAGGAAGAATAGTACTTTCTGTAAACTTCAGCTAATCGCAGGCGATACTTAGCGCATCTGTCCTCAGCGACGACGTTCCAAGTCTTCAAGCAACTATATCGAAAGACTTATACCTCGAAACCAGAGTTTATAACAGGAAAACCAGGGAAAAATCTAATAAAAAGCACAGAAATAGATTGATCAATGAGTTCTGGCGCCGCATGCGCGTCAGGGAGACAATGGCATGACCCACTGCGGTTCGACTGCAAAAGCGGCAATTGGCGCGTCTGAAAGCTCCTAGGGCGACTAACAAACCATAAAAAGTCCAAAAACTAATACAAATTTGCATTCATTTTTTTAGGGAAGGTTTCATTCACGCGAAAATACCGACTTCACACGAAAAAGCTCTAGGAATGAATAGTTATTTGATCAATCGTGATAGCCTGCATAGCGCGGTGAGTACCAATGTCATTTATGACGAGATAAGTAAGGCATACAGAAAGTAGGGCCAGTGCGAGCCTCTGCGAAGCAGAGGTGACGCACTGGTCTATCATAAAATGAGACATAAACATAACCAGTAAAGACCTTGATTGTAAACTTCATACTTTCGCAAATATTAGGCTGGAAACTAAGTTTTGCAACTGGTTTCATAACTTCGCTCTCTTTGGATATGGCGCACTCAAACTTCGGCATTATATAGAAGGCTATTTGAGCTACAAGTGAGCACAAATCCTCTAAATTTTGAACACGAAATAGAAAAGTTATAGGCGTTTTTCGAAAGCTAGTGAAATTTGACAATTTTTGGGGTTTCAAGCTAAAATGAAGCCTTTGACAGCCTAGACCACGCGCAGTAATCCGGATTCGTCCATAAATTATTGCTGAAGGTTGTCTCCTTTGGTCTATTGAGAAAGAAACAAAATTTAGGGGCATATCGAGATTTGGCGTCCTCATAAAGTCGAACGAGTTGATGTGCGCAAGAGCTGCTGGGGACGACCGTCAATGACTAAAGAGTCAGAAGCTCAACTTCCGCCGAGACTTTACATAGTAAGGTTATTTGACCTGCCAAACGCGAATATCACATTCATTTGTTGAATCAACGCCTTCCTCTTTGTTCAGGGTGAGACCCCATATCGTGCACCTACAGTAATCCTACAGAAAAGCCCTTATCACGCAATCACACTATCGTTTTCGTGATCAGCATGTCGGATAACACCCCTGCGCCAAGTTTCAGCCAAATCCGTCAAACTTTGAATTTTCCCCTTCATAGCATGCACCTACCATAACCCTCACTGCGACGTCGGAATTTGGCAGGACAGCAGCTACACTTGTAGCTTACATAATAGCCAACGCAATGGCAAAATTTGAGTGCGCCATGTTGAGTGAGAGGG